AGTCTCACGACTCCAAGGTCACAACTGGAGCCAAAAACCAAGAGTCAGGCACTTACCAACTGCACCACCCAAGGCGCCTCAGTTCTTGCAATTTTTAAATAATTTTATTGAATTTATCCCCAGTAACTTTATAGCTTTATTTGCTACTGTAAATGGGATCATTCCCCACAACCCCACCGTTGGTTATTGTTGGTCTGTAAGAAAGCTGTTGGGATCCCATATGTTGAGCTTTATCTCTCCTGCAAGTTAAACTCACTTACGTTCTAATAGTTTCTCAGTTGACTCACTTAGATCTAAGCCCACCTTCTTGTCTTAGCTCAGAATAAATTCTAAATGACAAGTTGTTAAAATAATTTAACGATGGATGATTTTGTAGATTTCCAAGCACCGACTTGAGCCTGTGTTCCATGTTCTGGGAGTACACAACACAGGAAACTAAGCTCTGGGGTGCTTACTATACAAGTTTTAGCTGGTCACTGATAACACCAGGTTTTCTTCTCATCTGTCCTCTTCTAACAGCAGAAACAACAAAATCTCTTCTAGCTGACTTTAGTTAGTTGGGTTTCAGGTTTTAATATATAAAGTTCATCCCTCTGAACAGATTTTTCTTTCAAAATCTAGAGCAAGAAATAAATTGTTACGTATATATTCACTAAGAAAGCAGCTAGAAGATGCTGAGCATGATGGCCCATAAGATCAAGGCACCAGCACACACTTGTGCGTGGTGAGATCCCGAGGCTGGAGGAAGATTCTAGAATCAAGTGCTCATTAGAGAGCCATACCTTTTCTCCCGTCTCCTTACCTCTCTACACCTCCCCCTTCCTATCCATTCGAAATGTTTTTAGCAACACACCATACTGAGAATCACCCACACTGTGCAATTCTCTTTGTGGAAAACTAAACAGCACAAAAACTGTGGTTTTCTAGCTCATGCTTCTGGATGGTAAATAATTCAAAGTAAGCTGGTAGGAGTAGGCAAGAGAGATTTAATCTTCTATATGAAAAATGGCTTTTATATAAGTGAGCAGAGGAAGCTTTAAGAATTATTCATGTTTAAATATATGCACCAGAATGCTATGCCCCTTGTCAAATAGGCTTCAAATCAGCAAAAATGATAATATTTTACTTACATAAGTTTTTTAGTCCCTCTGTTACCATTTTGGAATACATCATTTTAACACACATCTGCAAATTTGTAAAGCAATCACTTCGTGTGAGACAATGAATGCTTCAAAAGGCAACAAAAGAACATTTACAATTTTCCAACATGAGTTTCCCTCTCGTTTGGATAAGGATGCAAATTCAACTCTGTAATAAATTACAGTGCATTGTAAAGATTAAATGCACTCAAGGATTGCGTTCTCTCCTTCCTCCACCCTACCCTACACACAGCTGCCCGACTAATCCTCCCAAAACACCAATTTTCATACGCTGCTTTTCAAAACTAGCTTCCTGGCTTCCTGTTGCCTGAAAAAATAGTCTCAAATGCTTTCGTCTGGCATTCAAGGCTCTCTGTGATGTGCACCCTGGCAAACGTGTCGCTCTGCTCACTTCTTCCACCATGCACAAGTGGGCTAGTTATTTAGAGACCCATCTCCCCACTGACCCAGCAAAGGTCTCGAGCGTCTCCTAGACTCACGGACTCACCCAGTGATGTTCTGAAAGGCCATTACTGGGTCACATGCCAACTGCTGGAGTCAGGAGTCAGGGTGAAGTTGCCACCGCCTAACCACATGGACTGAAAGTGGGAACGGTGATTCTCCGGAAGAAAACTGGGGCATTATTATGAGAAGTCAGATGGCAAAACCACCAAGGTCCCCTACGACTGCCTTAAACACACTCTGGACACAATTTAAGGAGACAAGCGAACGTATTAACTCCCATTTAGGCCTCTTCCACCACATGCAATTCCACAAGGCTGTATCAAGCAAATGCAACCGAGGGAGGAATTGTTTCATTCTGGAACAAAAGGAGCCTCCGATAGACCCCAATCCATGCACTATCCTTACAGCTCTAGCCACTTTTATATAGATCAGACCCTGTCCAGGAGCCCAATTTGCTGGGCTCATTTATATACAATGCACATACCCTCAAGAATATAACATTTTATCTCAGATTGCATAAATTTAAATAACACTTAATGAAGACAGTGTAAAATGAACAAAAACAACATATTCTGTGATGAATCAAATGAAATACATTTTGAGTTCCTGTTTTCCCCATTTAAAGATAACATTTTTGATAACTCATTATCTGTGAAAAGACACAAGACCAACAGTTTTTTTGTGTGGTTGTTCCCCCCCCCCGCCCCACTTAAGGCTGTAGCCATATTGTCACAAATTTGCCTGGAAGCTTTCATGGCACATTGTCATTTTGAGGGTAGACAACACCCAGCCAAATGGCTTCATACATCATCAGTGCCTTTCTCCCACACACACTCCCTTCCTGGTTTAACCATTCGTTACCCTGGTTCTACAGTGAAACAGTTTTTGCAAATCTCTCCTGTACCTAAACTCCTAAAAGTTGGGGACTTCTCACTTTGGTTTCCCCAGGGCTTGACATTTTGTTTGGTGCTTGGGGGGGGGCAATAGGCCGTTCAAAAAGTATGTTAATGCTATCACTCAATGCATCGATCCATGCTATGCACCAATGCTGTAATAAATATCAGTTCATTTCTTGTAACAAAGGCAGTAGGAACTTCTCCCAATGGAAGAAATTCCAAGGACAGAATGAAGGCAGGAAGGGAACTGGTATATTTGTACCTACTATGTGAGAGACACTGGTTTAGGTATTTTTATAGACACATTATTCCACTGAACTGTCACAATCCTGCAAATTCTTACACATTTGGGTTTATATGAAGTTTAGCAAGCAACCCAAACGCACAGTGACAGGCCCATGAGTCAAATCCAGCATGCTTGACTCCATGATTACCAAGCCCACTATCTCCATTTATCATGATTCTGAGATTCATGAGTATGTAGGTGCTATCAGGAAATGTCAAAAATGCCCACTTTAGGGACGCCTGTGTGGCTCAGTCGGTTAATGGTCTACCTTCGGGTCAGGTCATGATTCCAGGGTCTTGGAATTGAGTCCTGCATCGGGCTCCCTGCTCAGTTGGGAGTCTGCTTCCCACTCTGCCTGCCACTCCCCCTGCTTGTGCTCTTTGACAAATGAATAAATAAAATCTTTAAAACAAAATCTTCTAAAAAATGCCCATTTTAAAGAGTGTTTTAAAACACTATTTAGACAGCAATAGAAGCAAAAGCAGAATGACATAATGTAACAGGAAATAGTTTAAATGGGAACCCTTTGGGAACTCTGGTGGATGAGTGTGTTTAAATTAGTTTTTTGTAAACTGCAAAAAAAAAAAAACCCTCCCATTTGTAGTGTACACAAAGCACGTGGCAACAATAAAGATAATGATGGGTTATGGTTGCAATTCATAGAAAAGGAGGTTCAGGGAAACTGAATGAAAGGGAATAGGAATAATAACCTAGGTCCATAGTCACCCTTCCTTGTAAAAAAATTAACCCGAAAGTGCATTTCTGCCACCTCTCTCCTGTTTGATGTAATAAAGAATGGCCATGATACATGAATTATAGTTCAGGGTTTTGAAAAGCAAAACAGCTTTATAGCAACCCCTGAACTTCTGTTGCTAACAAGATAGCTCAATTTGATATGCGGTTCCTGACAACCAACTTCAGAAATAATTCCATCTTCATGAGAAGTCAGAAGAACCACAAACCAAACCTCAGAATAGATTTAAAGAGAAAATACTCTTAAAAAAATTTTCCCTTCCTATCAGAAGCAGACCAAAGGGAAGTTTATCCTCCCACTAACAAATTCCCCCGAAAGCTCCATTTAAGGTTGTACCCTCTTCAGACACCCCAGCAGGACCCTCTTCTTTGAGCCTGGTGTTTCTTCCATGGCCTATTCCAGAGAATAAGACATAAACTAGAGAGCGCTATGGGCCTCAGGACTATGAAACATGATGAAAGGCACAAAGCAAGCCTCTGGTGACCAAGAGGTTATGTAGACATTTGCTGCTTTTCTGCATTTTTCAAAGCTGAGTATTTAGCTGCAGGCCGCTCCTTTACGATAAATTGCTGCTACCGTATACTAAAAGCTATATTATCTCTTACAAACCATTTCCCATCTTTCCATTCTCGTGTGCCAAGGCGGACATGGATTATTTAAAATCCTTAAGACACTGCTATTCAATTTAAATTGCCTGTAACCTTTGTGTAATAGATTTATGATTGATGATAGGTTTAGTTAAAACAGAACTGTTTTAAATATATTCTTGGTAAACGATCCCAATCTGTGCTCACTTAAGTACCGGTGCATAATCCCTTTTCAATTAAACCGTAGTGCTTTGCTTTTAAGGACCAATGCCGCATTTCCGAGAGAACCCCGAGCTATTTTTCTAGAATGGCCGTACGGGTGTGTATCTTTTCACTCCCTTTGTGCAGCACCTACCCTGGAGGTCATGTAATAACCAATGACAAAAATCCAGATCGAAGCTACTCGCGTGTGCCACCCTGCCTGAAGACGAGGAGACGGTTTAAATAGCAGATCACGGGCACGCATCCCAGTCCAGGCCGCGTTGCGAGAGCTGCGTCCGGGCCTCGGGCGCGATTAGGGAGCCCCCAAAGCGACACCAGACTGCCGCCAGGTTTTAGGGCTGATCCTTTCCTCGCAGCCAGTCCGGGACAGCACTCGCGTGGGCCGCGCGGCCACACCAGCTCGCGGAGCCTGGGCGCGGGGCAGGAAGGACGCCCGCTGCCGGCGACGCTAGGGGCCCTCGGGGGCCCCCCCTCCCCGCACCCCGGCCCGCGCCTCCGGAGGGAGGGAGGGAGGGAGGGAGGGAGGCGGCGGCGCGGAGAAGGGGCTTTGCTAATTGCCGAAGCAGGAAGTGAGCACGAGGACGCGGCGGAGAGTCTGGGAGGAGGTGGAGGTGCTGGAGGAGGAGGGGCGCGTCGCAACTGCAGGAGCCGCCGGAGCTGCCCTCCCTGGCCTCCCGCTCTCCAGCCCCGATCCCGAGGCCGCGCAGCCCCGCTCGGGCGCCCGTCTGCCCCACCCCGCCCCATGGCTTCTCCGGACGACCCTCTGCGCGCAGGTAAAGTGACACCGCGCCGCGCCCTCCCCCGGAGCGGGAACCGCGGGCCGCGAGCTGGCGGGGCTGTCGGGGCCCAGCCTCCCGCGAGCCCCGGGACGACCCCCGGGACGACTCCCGGACGCTGCGCCTCACCCGGGTTCGCGCCGGGTCGGGCCGGGAACGGCGGCGGCGCCGGGGCCGCGAGTACGCGGCGCGAGGTCCCCCCCCGCCCCACCCCGCAAGCGGGCGCTCTGGCCCCGGTCCTTCGGCACCCCCGCGCGTGCCGAGGACGCTCCTTCCCTCTTCCCACGCTGTGGCCCCGTCGCTTTTGTTCTGGACTCGGCATCCCAGGTTGAAACAAGTCCCTCAACCTCTCTGGCAGCCCAGAGCGCAAGGAGTGATCATTTTTTTCCTCCCTGGCCCTTCCTTCCTCCCCACTCACCTGCCTTCCCAGGTCTCCTTTTCTCTCCTTTTCACTTTATTAAATGGTTTTGTTCCGTATATTGACCCTCAGAGCTATTTCGTAAATTAGTATACACGAAAGCGAGAGCCGGATCCCACCTGCGGGATCCCACCTGTTGAGGCCTTTAATTAGAGTGGTCTCTAGTTCTAGCCTTAATTTAAAAGTGTGTGTACCTGAGGACGGAGTCTAGATTTTTCTTTCATCTCTACTTGAATTTGAAATCCTCCTCAGACTTCACCTCCCAGGATTTCTCTGTCCTTGCTCTTCCACGATCTTGGCCGGGATCCGCCACGACTGTTGAACACAGGAATGAATGAATGATGTATTCCCCAGAGCACACTGGGGCTTTTTCTTGGTTTGCTGAGGTTGGAAAGGCTAGGCAGAGAACCATATATACCCGTATAGAACTGCATGTAACTGCTTAGATAAACGTGTTTCCTATTTTATTGCTTGGGCTTGAGCAGGGCTTGAACATTCCACCATTAATCTGTGGCTTGAGCAATTAGGAGGAGACGGTATCTGGAGGTGAGTCAGAAGACAGCTGAATTGGCATCGTGGTATGCTGGGTTTGGGAGAGTTTCCTGGAGACTCTAAAGAAAGATCTAAATTCTTCAAACGGGAGATGGAAAATAAATAAATTGGATATCCTTCCCCCCCCATACCCATTATTTGGGAAAACAGAAAGGGAAGTGAAGAGAGAAATCCTCCCGCTCTGATCCCCACTCACCTCCACATCTACCTCCTCTTCCAAGAACCTAATGGATGAAGTGCCAAGAAGTATTGGGCCTGATTTTTACCAACAGTGATCTCAGATCTCACTCAAGGATCATGGTGAAAGGCATTCAGAAAGATCTTGGGGATACAGAGATCCTTTGAATGAGGGCCACTGTAAAGTCCGCTTGGGCCCCTAAAAATTAATGGCACCAGAGAAGGCAAGGCTCAGAAACTACAGCTTAATAGTGATACAATGTGTAAAAAGTTTCAGTGAGTCATAGTGTGACGAGACCACCAGGGCGGCTAATACAGTCTTAGATGACCTTATGTAACAGCACTACAGGATCTAGATTTCCCATGATGGTGTTCTTGGTCAGCCCGGCCCTGCCAAAATGGATACTCACAACCTGGAACAAAAGGTCTTGGAAATCCCGGCACGTGAGGCGTGAACAGAGGATAGAATGATAGGAGGGTGTCCTTCGGAAGGAATCTGTCTCCTTGACTAAATTTAAGAGGAAGAACCCAAATCTGTAGGTAAAATCTTTCTGGCTACAAAGAGGGGCGAGGCCTCCTAAGGTCGAGGTCTCCTTGTCACTTGGAAAGATGTCGAAGAAAAAATTCAGACATCTCAAAGAGGTCCTCATGTGCATCCATTCCCACTCTGGAATTCTATCAATAAGGTGCCGGTTCCTCCAGTTTAAAAAAAAGATCTAAAATGATTTCCCTTTCTCATGTAATTTCTGTAACCTCCGGGACACACCCACCTACCCCTTCCAGCGCTGTAATGAAGCTACAGATGGTACCAATTTGTGGAACTTGTTAAAGGCCATTGTCACGTGTACACCCCCCACCAAGTTCCCGTGCACCCTCACCTGATTTCCTGCACTCGCCATCTGGTGTGTTCACACCTGCACTTGCCTTTTACCAGCCCCTTCGCCAAAAGGCAGCCAGAGTGACCTTTCAAAGACATATCAGTTCCTGTCATTTGTCTACTTAGAAACTGGCATCGGTTTTCTAACAGGTTCTCAGTCCTCAGAAGGTGTCCAGAGTCCTCACATCCGGCTCTTCCTACCCTCCAACTGACTGATGCCTGTTCTGCCCCTGCCTCTCTGCCCTTCAATCACACTGCCTCCTTTTTCCTCTGAGAGCCCTTGTCCCCCGCCCCTGCCTCCGAGCCTTTGCACAGGTGATTCTCATTGCTGGGAAGAGCCCCCCCCCTTCATCTCCCTCCCCTCCCCACTCCAGTTACCTCCTACTTATTCTTCAGACTTGAGCTCACAAGCCCCATGCAGTCTCCATGCACCCTGTTCTTTCCTTTCTAGCACTGGCCTCCATTTCTCGGTGTGGTTATGTCCCTGATGTCTCTCCCCAGCTAGCCTCGAAAGCTCTCGGAGAGGGTGCGCGTCCCTTTAGCTAGAACACCTGACACAGTGCTCGGCACGTAGTAAGCCCGGATGAACTCCTTATTGCCTCACCAAGTGAGTGAAAGAATTTACAAATTTCACCCCATATGCTTCAAACTGTGGGCAGAAAAAGCTTTCCTTGGATTGACATTTTAGAAACGTATTCCTCAAGTTAGATGTGTTCCCTGACTTCACCTTGTAAGGTTAAAAAAAGACGTTTGTATCTCCACATGCATCTAACGAAGGCGTGTACATGCTATTAGACCATGTTATGAGCTTCATGGAAAGAGACAGCTTTGTACACTAAGAAAAGGTGTAAGACTGTTGAGGTCACATAGAAGGAAAATAGTCATGCTGGTTGCAGCATTTCTATCTTACTCTATCTCCGGCGCTAATAAAAATCTAACACGGGATGAGTCAGAATCGTCTGTCGGAGGTGAATAAAATCTGGCTCACATTCATACAGACGTGAAAGCCAGGAGCGAAGAAAGAGGCTTTGAAAGCCTCCGTTGAGGAGGAGGTGCGATGCGCTGCAAGAGCTGAGTGCCCAGGGCCACTGGCAATGTGGGCATGTGTCCTTCCTTTGTTCTGGCGTCCCTTTTGCACCGCGTGGCACGGCTGGTGGCTGGGAGCAGCTCGGGACGGTGCTGGGTGGCATCTTACCTCTCCCAGCCCTCCTGTGGGCTCAGGTGGGTCCCAGGTGGCGGCCTGCCCTCCTGGCAGAGCCCAGTAGCACTGGGAGCAGAAGCCAGGACCGGAGAGTGAGCACCGTGTTTGACAAGCCGGACCAGCCAGCTCTTCTTCAGAGGCACCGGGAACCATGGCATGCTGTAGCTCTCCCTTTTCCCTCTCCCCTTCCCTGGCCCCTCTTCAGCTCTGTCCCCTCTGTAGGCATGAGCCTGACTACACACTGAATGCCTGGCCACCCTCCAGGGAAGTCACTCTTAGGTGGGCACCCTCCTGAGCCCCTGGTCCTTCCTCCGCTTGTTCAGCCCCCCTGCTCTGAGGTCTGAGGATGACAGAGCGGGGCTGCTGCGGAATCAGGGAAGAGGAGAGATGAATCCTGCGTCCACACCACCACCCAGCATTGCTGCTCTAAGAGCTTTTTTTTTTTTAAGATTTTATTTATTTATTTATTTATTTGAGAGAGAGAAACAGCATGAGAGGGGAGAGGGTCTGAGGGAGTGGGACTCGATCCCAGGACCCTGGGATCATGACCTGAGCCGAAGGCAGTCGCTTAACCAACTGAGCCACCCAGGCGCCCTGCGGCTCTAAGAGCTTTCGGAGTCCCGAATAGGGTTAGGACTCTGGGGCTTCTTCAGACCCAGGAATGAAAACAGCTGTAGGTCAAAAGAAAAAGCTATCGCACACACACACAAATAATAATCACGAATGAAAAATAAGTTAACTCTGAAATCCCAAGTTTGAAGAACTGCCTTGAATTCGTCACTAGAAAGCTCCCAAGGCCTCACTCTCTTGGCTCCGGGTGCCCCGGGAAGGGGGGCAGGAAGCTCTGACACGCTCGCTCCCCTCTTTGTTGGCTCCTAAAGAACGTCCTCGGAGGCCGCCTTTGAACGTCCTCGGAGAAACTGTCTCTCGGAACTGTTGGCCCTCGGCTGCCGGGACTAATGAAGGGAGATGTCAGGAAGGAACAGCGCAGCTGTTGGGCAGCTCACCGGGGGCTGTGTTGCAAAATGTGAGATTGTTGCTTCTGAAGAAGCTGTGGGATGAAGTCGGCGGTTCTGATTCTACGGGTGAGATTTGGGTCTTCGAGTGGATGAGAACGGCTGAGATTTTTGGACTCCGAGTCGATGCTGGAAATACTAGTGCTTCGGGGGACGTTGGGTGAAGGTATTTGGCACATGGGAAGGACATGAATTTGGGGGGCCAGAGAGTGGGCTGTTATGCACTGCATTTCGCCCCTGAAACCTTGTTGCCATCCTAACTCCGGTACCTCAGAATGGGACCTTATTTGGAACTAGAGTCTATACAGATGCAGTCAAGTTACAATGAGGTCATTAGAGTGGGCCCTTAATCTCCTGTAACTGACGTCCTTGTGACAAGGGAAAACCTGGACAGAGAGATTTCCCCCACTGTCAGTGATGGTCAGTGCATGAACTTCTAGAACCTCTGAAAGTAGTGGAAAACAGGCACAGGCTGGGCACTAGGTAAGTGGGAGCTCTAGCGGGATTTCAGATGAAGGTGCTGTGGACCTTGGCTTCCTATGTCCTAGTGACGTTAGCCTGAAGATGCTCTTTTGCCCGTGGGGGCCCTGCTTCTCACCACTCACAGACCTTTAGAGCTGGAAGGACATGTGGAGGCTCTCTGTTCACCCGTGAATATTACAGACTAGGGACAGAGAAACAAGTGATCGTGCAGCCTGCCTACCTCGCTGGCTCTCACCTTCGGTCTCCAAGAGCAAGGCCAGGTGCCCTCTCCAAGGGCCATGCTGCGTGAGCTCACCCTGGGCCTCTCTCATGCCTTTTGAGAACTCTCCAGAAGATGTTCGTATAAATTAAACACCATCCTCGCTGCCACCAGTGAGATCCTTTTTGGTCAGTTGCCAGCTAATTTGGGGAGGTCTGTGCCTTGCTTAGAGTCACCGATCCAGGAGAGGCGAGGTGGCTTTGGGAGGAGGGGACTGCCCGGGACACCAGAGCGACAGCCAAGAGCTAGAGGAAGGTCCCCGTGCCGCCCTGGCCTGAGCTCCCATGGTCCCCCTTTCTGTTTCGGTCCCTCCTGTGCCTCATGTCTCAACTGATATCAGAGCCTTGCCTGGGCGCCCCCCCGCCCCGCTATTCCCTGGGGCCTGTAAAAATAAAACTTTTAATGCTTCCGATTAAATGATTTGATTTCAGACTTAAAAATATTGTAACCGTGCAGCTCCAAGAGCTCTCAGAAATGCTTTAGGACAACTTCCTACTTCCAGGCCAGTATGAGATAACCAGGGTCAGCCCTCCTCCAAATAATCTCTTCGGTACACAGCCATCCGGGCCTTGCAAACAAGGTCAGTTGGGTGCAAACCACAAGGACTTTCCAGGCAGAAGAAGGCACAGGGTCAGGGCAGAGCACGTTGGGCACCACGGGAGCCTGGGTCTGTGAGCGAACTTGGCAATGACGCGCCTGGAAGAACTTTCTCCACGGTCTGATCCACATCAGAGGCTCCAGCGAATGTGATCAAAAGCCCTGAAGGTGCCTCCATGGCTGGTTCCGAGCCCGTTGCCTTTCCCGACTGCCCTTTCGCCTTGTGGCCATGCCTCAGAAAATGAGAAACCTAAATTCGTTGTGCCTTTCCCATCGTAAGTTCCATCTATTCTCAGGGATTTCAGACCAAAGCAAGAGACTTTGGGCCTCCAGACAGGTGCTGTCATCGGCCTGGCCCTTCCCGTTCACCTCCCAGCCTCCGGAGACATACTCAGGTGCAACCCAGAGCGGGGTCAGGGTCTGAGGGGAGTGGATGGGGTGCCCACCCCCGGCCTGACCAGAACATCCATCTCCTGGGCCCCCTGACTGCAGGTTACAGGGGAAGGAGCCTGAGGCAGCAAGCGCTTAGGTCATCCAAGGTCACACCCCTGGACTTGTTCAAGGCCGGACCGCTGCTCAGCGGTGACATGGCTGGGAGAGCCAAGGCCTTCTGCACACAAGCCCAGTCTGCCTTCCCTGTAACTGTGCTGTCTGCATCCTCGCTGCCCCTTTTGGTGTAATTCTGCCTTTCCCAGCCATGTCCTCCATTTCCTTCCTCTCATGCTAATTTTTCTGTAGGAAACAGAGCTAACTTGTCATAGATACAGTGGATGGTATCTGCACAGATCCTTTTGAGGGTCGTTTAGAAACCACCTCCCCGCCCCCCAGCACACACACCCCAGCTCCCCAGGTCCTGCACAGCCCGTGGATCTGAAATTCCATCGTTGGTACCTGCTAGTATACATACCACACCCCTGATGGGGGGGGGGCATGTTTTTAAGTATTATCTCCAGCTCCACTCTAGTGAAAATGGAATTGTTGAGGCAAGGCTGTGATAGGAGGGGCAGGAGGAAGGAACTTGAGGTGGCGTCTACCACCCTCTCCCCAGCCAGGAACCAGAACGAGAAGGATGGAAAAGAAAAACTCAAAAACCAAACTTGGTGAGTCTGGCTGGACATATCTGGAGTACACTAATATGTCATGTCGTTTCTCATCTCTCGGCCTTTGCCCATGCTGTTCCCTCTACCTACAATGCTTGTCCCTCCCCTTCTCCTGGCTCACTTCAGCGCAGCCTTCCAGGCTCAGCTGTCAGTACCCCTGCAGGCTCTTCTGTCCCGCTCCTCCCCCGCCACCACGCACCCAAGGCTGGGCACGGGCTCCTCCTCTTGTTTCCATATCATTCTGCGCTTCCGTTACTCAACACTGAGTGCTCTGCTGTCTAAGTGCCTATTACTTGGGCCGCAGAAGTCCTGTGAACTTGGAGTGGAATTAGCACCACAAGTGGCTCTTAATTTCTTTACATGGATTTAAATCCATGTCCAGGTCTATATTCTACTGGGCTGCCAGGAAATTCCATCTTTAGTCCGAATGGGGGCCCTGGGCCCCTCCTTAGCATCACACAGGAATCCGAGAGGATGTGGTGCCAGGAGAACTAGGGTGTCATCTTGGTAGGCATCAAAGCCTTGGGGTCTGAGCCTTAAAAGACCCTTGAGATCCAGCAGCCCTCTGCACCTGTGCCAGGCAGAAAATCATGGGTTTCTTTGCTAGGGCGGGGAAGTACCCTTTGTGCATCCCGTGATGTGGCCTTGCTACCTCTGGGCCCTGCCAGGGACCGGGGCACAGTCCCACTCATGTGGCTGCAGATGTCTACCCCCCACTCCATGGGAGGACACTAGCAGAGGGCTGTCTCCATTCGTCCCCACTCCTCTGGGCCCCTAATCTCTCCAGTGACTAGGCTGTCATAAAACAAACAGATAGATGTTCCCTTCACACTGCCTCTCCTTTGGGCATTGTCAACACCTGCCGGGCAAAGATCTGTGAAAAGCCCAGACACATTCTAGAAGGGAGCCATCTAAGGAGAACAAACACAAATTAATATATCAGTAAATCATCCTGATATGCTCGTTTTGATCCCCAAAGGCATGTCCTGGGCCTGGTACCTGGTCCACAGTGTATACTTAATTCTTGGCTGGTTTAAGGCTTCCACCTAGGGTTTCTTAGGTTGTGCACTGCACAAATCTAGAGGGCCCCATTCAAATGGATTTGGTTCTTTATTAACATAGTTTTCTGGCAGATGTCTGGGCAAGTGTCTCGGAGTGGGAGGGCTCTTTTCTGCTTTGGATAATTTCTTAAGATCTAGTGGTGGCCTCGACCGAGGCCTATACGTTTTTCCGTTTTTCCTCATTCAATTTCTTAAATGCAACACGTGGTAAATAAGCAAAATCTTGGTAAGTCGAAATCACTTTTTGTTAGATAATGATCCTGGGAGGTTGTTGACTTTATTAAATTACCTAAACCACAGCCAGAAGCTTAATATTTTTGAATGATTTTAAAAAGCATTACAGAAGAGTGGGAAACATGGAGAGAAGGAGAAATCAGGATCATGTCATCCCTGCTCAGAGTTATAATCAAATTATACCAAAGAGTCCTGGGTACCATGTTTGCATCATCCAGGGTTATATATAACTCCGAGTGTCTGTAGATCTCTACAGGTAAACTGTTCAAAGTATGGTGTTTTTTTTTGTTTTTTTTTTTTAAATAAAGCTTGTCTTAATCTCTTTCTTGGTGCCATCTGACCCCGTTCCTTCCTATTTCGTTTCTAGTAAATGGTTGAAAATAACGTTCTTCTCAAGCCTGACTAGGGTAGCTTGCATCATTATGAAGACAGTTCTCAAAGGACACGTCTCTTAAAGAAAATACTCTCCCATTTGTTTTTGTTTTGTTTTGTTTTGTTTTGTTTTACAGATCATACGGCAAAGGAGCCGGTGGAAGACACAGACCCTAGCACTTTATCCTTTAACATGGTAGGTCATAATCTTTACATCAGTGGTGACAGCTCTTGTTAATCCTTTTCTCCCTTTGTTACATTTCTATTGCTCAGTATTTACACGAAGATCAGAAACCTCGAAGTACGGTTTTCCCAAGATAAATGTCTTTATCACAGTGTTCTCTGTGATGTAATAAACTTTGGGTTTCTCAGGGCTAAAAATGGTATTAGATTCTGTTCTTATGGTCTTCTTAGATTATATCAGGTCTTTGTATACTTGTCCATTTTAAATACTTATCTGGCTCCTTTTAACTTCCTCTTCTTCAAAATGCAAAATATTTACTGTGAGATGAAGGAAATAACAGGACTACTGTACAGTTAACTGGGGGCTACCCATTGGCTAGCTGGGCCCACACTGCAACAACCCCATAAGGCAAGCTCTGCCCATTTCACGGATGAACAGCTGAGACACAGGGGTTGGGGTAAGTGGCCCACCTTGGAAGCAGCCCAGGCGGGATGCAGACCCAGTAGCTGGCTTCAGGTCCCTGCCCTGCCCTCCCAAAACCAGTCTGTGGTGTGTCTGCTGCTGAAGGTTTACCAAGGATTTCACATACATCGTCTTCATCCTCCAAGTAATCACTGAGATGGTAGGACAGCCACCCCATTCTACAGATGAAGCGATGAATGTTAACAGATTTGTATAAAATCACCCACACGGGAGCCCTGCTCTCCGATGTGGTACCGCCTCTTGCTTATGACCAGATCCATGCCTCTGGCAACATCACATGTGTTATTATGCACATAAGGGTGTGACATATTCCTTTAAAAAAAAAAAAAGTGTTTGGAGGAGAGGAACCGCCCAGTCCACGAAAAATTCTGATTAACTAATTTAGTTAGAATGACATAAAATACAACAATATCATTAGACAATATAACTCAATGAAACATGAAATATCCTGAAGTCTTTGGTGATTCACGAGGCACCTCAGGGTCTTGAAGGCCTGAGGTGTTTGTCCTTATGTCTCGAGTCCCCACTGCACACTTTGCTAAGGGACAGCGTGGGGGACGAAGCTGGACGCACGGTGGAAGTCAGTATGGAAACACCCCCTGTCCCTACATTCCAGAAAGACAGAACGTGGCCAGCCCTGTGGCTATCGCTCACCATTCCGCGTGCTGTAGCCCCGAACGAGAACCTTCGGCGCTAGAAGGTGCACTTCGTTTGTCCTTCCGGTCCTCTTCCCCAGCACCCAGCCTGCACTGCTCTCAGACTCCCACTCTCTTGCCAACATCAGGTTCTCCTTCCCTCTCGCCTAGGGTCACGGCCTCCCCCTGCTCACTTCTCTGTGCCAGGACACGGTGATTTCCCCCAAACTCTCCCTGGGTCAGTTGGCTGGGGCTGCCACAACCAAGGACCACACAGCGGGTGACCTAAGTGCCCCGCCACGTCTGCAGGTTGGAAAGGCCAGGGCCCTTCTCCTCCCTCCGAAACCGATGGGGAAGGATCCTTTCTCATCTCTGCTGGTCTGTGTGGTGGTCGGTAACCCCAGGTGGTTCTCAGCGTTCAGCTGCATCCCTCCAGTGCCCCCGCTGCCTTGGCACGTGGCCGGGTTCTCCCCGTGGGTCTGCATCTCTGCGTCTCTTCTCTTGTAAGGAGAACAGTCCTGTTGACTCGAGGCTCCAGTCTACTCCAGTATGATCTCATTTTCACTAGTCTTCTCTCTAAGTCTGTAGTGACCCTATTTCCAAATGAGGTCACATTTGCAGGGACCAGGGGTTAGGATTTTAACAGATCTTTTTGGGAGGACGCATGTCAGCCCATGACATTGCAGGTGCTCCCGGGATGAAGCCTATACTCAACGTGGCAGATGAGGTCATCCATGACCTCATCTCAGCATCCCTCCTGATGAGCCAGTTGAGTGTAGCTGTTTGCTGCTCCTGAAACACCCCACGCCTTCTCACCTTCCAGGGATGCTAACGCTGTTCTGTCCAGTGAGGAAAATCTCCCAGCTTCCTCACCTAAGGAACTCCTGTGCTTCCTCCCCTGTGACGCTTTCTTTGCCTCACCCTGGGGCCTTGGGGGGCTCCTTTCTCCACAACCCAACCCCTACTTTTTATCACACCGTGCTGGAATTATTTGCTTGTGTGAGTTCCTGCAAGACTGTATCGAATGTCTTCCCATATTCAATGCTGGGCACAAAGCAAAGTTTGATGGCCCAAGCTTCCAAGAACCCGGAAGGGCACCCACCTAAATCTTTTCACCTTGCTTCCAGAATCTTTCATGTAAACTGGCTCCCTCATTTCCTATCCATCCCTGCCCCTCTCCAGCGTGCATCTCTGCTTCTACACCTGTCACGCTTCACACCACCTGGACTTGCTCCTCTGTGTCCACCATGCTCCTTCCTCTTGGTCACCCGAGTTCATGGGCATTCTCCACGCCTAGCTCAAATGTCAGTCCTTCCAGGAAACCTGCATTTGCTCCAGCCTGTTGGGCCCTTCATGTAGACTTCTGGTAGATGCTTATTTAGCACTGAGTCAAAGTGTGGGTTTGCAAAGATCATAGTTCCTTTTTTTGAAGAACTCGGAGTTTATCTGAGGAAATAGGCAAGTCCGTGCTTTAAAAACAGCCTGGGGGTGCCTGGGTGGCTCAGTCGTTGGGCGTCAGCCTTCGGCTCAGGTCATGATCCTGGGGTCCTGGGATCGAGCCCCGCATCGGGCTCCCTGCTCCGCGGGAAGCCTGCTTCTCCCTCTCCCGCTCCCCCTGCTTGTGTTCCCTCTCTCACTGTCTCTCTCTGTCAAATCAATAAAATCTTTAAAAATCAAACAAAACAAAACAAAACAAAACAGCCTGAGAAGTGTTATAGTACAGGTGTGTTTTCCGTGCTCTGGGGAACAGACTGTCTAGAAGAATTTAGTCTCAGGGAGAATTTGACTTAAGTTCTCCGTGATTGATGATTGATTGATTGTGTTCTTCTGTGGAAGAGGAGTTCGAGGCTTCTAGAGGTTTGGAAACTTCACTGTTCAGCTCCGAAGAAACTGCAGGGAAGGAGTTTTAAAGCAAAATCCTTGGTCCCACAGTTGTTTCTTTTTCTCCTCTGTCAGAGAAAGACATGCGTGAGACCTACAGGCAATTTGGAAGGTGCAGCCTTTTTTTTTTTTTTTTTTTTTTTAAGGCTGGAGGGCGTAGATGCGAAGGCCCAGATGGGGAGTGGGAGCTGAGCAGGGGTTAGGGGACCGGATGGGGAGACTGGGCACATTCCCGCTCCTCTCATGGAAGTCAAAGTTTGATCGGAAGTCAAAAGTTTCCGGAATACCTGCATGGAGGTACCAAGAAAGAAATATGCAATTGCAAGAGCCTTTGCTATTTTGAATTCCCTCCCATGGTACTGTCTCCATCCAGTGCACTGAGGAACTGTGCATAATTATACACGATGAGTAGATCTTTGTAGATCTTTGTGCAGTCGGTAGGCTGGCTGGCTTTCGAATCCTGTCATAGTCAACCCAGAACAGAGCTCTACAAGAGTGAGTACTCCCTGGTCCACAGGCTTGTTGACCCAAAGGGACGCCACAGAAATGGGGACGAGAAATGGGTCTATCCCCATGATTCACAAAAACAAATGCTCCTCAGTTTTCAACTACAGGAAACGGGGGGAGGGGATGCAGGGGTAGCACCTCAGAAAAGAGAGGAAGTGTGGTTTAGCCGTCAGAGCTGAGGAAGTTTAGAAGGCTTATTCTGTCTCATGTTCCAACATTAACTTCTTGTCAACCTTGATTTCATTTTTATAGGCCGAGGATAAAAGTGAGCAATGGGTCAGGCCTGTTGATAAATCCAAGGCTAGAAACTTGCAAGGTTTTAAGCTAAAATCATGACTTTCCCCAAACAAAGCTTTCTTTTCACTTTGCTCTTATAACTGAGCTATGGGGTTTAAAAATAACTCTCTTCTTTTGTTGGTTTCCACAGTCAGACAAATATCCCATTCAAGATACGGGACTCCCTAAAGGTATGTACACTTAATATAACTACTTGAACTTGTGATTATTTTAAGATCTTGAACAAAGCACTAGTCAAAGTCATCTCTTGTTACTTAAAGTTGTTAAACAGAAACAGGCTGACAATTTAGCTTTTGACTTGTTGATCATCTCAGGCATGGAGTTTCTTATTAAAGTCTATAAATTATTTCATTACAAATTACACATTAAATCCCTATGGTGTTTTTAAGTTGCATAAAGTGAAGAGAGCCAGGACTCTGGGTTGCAAGTGACAGAAACCTAACTCAAGCTCATTTTAAAAAGGGAGGGGAGACATACTGGCTTCGGGTCTTTGGACATTTGAAGGATGCTCTCAGGCTCAGTCTCTCTGTGTCTCTCATTGGCTCTGTTTTCATCTGTGTTGGCTCCATTTTGCGGCAGGCTTTCCCTTCATGGTGGGAAAGATGGTCACCTATACCTCCAGCTGTATGCGGTGCCCGTCAAGATGGTGCCCCCCCCCCCAGCGCCCACAGCACAGTTCTAGGGATGACAGTCATTCGGGGAGTTTGGGTCACGTGGCCATCCGTGAATCAGTTGCTGCCATCAGGAGGATGGAGGACATTGGTCAGGTCTGTGCCCTTGAGGTTGGGTGGGGGAGGGCACAGAGTTAGTTCCATGCAAACCACAGGAAAGAGGCTTCTGTTACTAGACAGAGGGGCAAAGGATGCTTGTCAGGCCCTAAAGCGAAAAGCAAAAAAAACACAAAAAAACAAAAACAAAACAAAAACCCAAAACCCCCCAAAAACCTATCTTTTGTAATTCATGGACTAATGTTTTAGCCATGGCATAGACATGGCTAGGCATAGCCTCTTATAATTTCTTCTGTGGGGCAGTCTGCAGAGCCATGTCTGTTGTGGAGGCTTTCTGGTTGCCCTCCTGGAGTATTTCCCCTGTGTTCTGTTGATAAGCCAGAGAGGGAGGGGTGGACGGACGGTGTGGGGGACCATCCGATCTGATCAGCTTCAGAGATGGCAGGGGCCCCCAGGTTCCTGGAGAGGTACGACTTCCCAGCACACGCTAATGTGGGTTTTCCTGGCAGTCCTTGTGATAGGGTAGTCCTAGGGTCACCTGACTGGAGGGTGGGGAGGCAGCTCCCCCCAGGGTCCACCTGAGGTTAAGTGCAGGGTTCTGCCAAGGCTCCCCTCCCTCCAGTCCTTACTCGCCAGACTCTTCTCCTTACACCCAGAAATTACACCGCTAGCGTTTCATTCCTTTTGCCCCCTGTGCATGCCCTGGGAGTGGCAGTGATGTAGGGAAAAGAGACTAAAGGGCAGGTTTGAGTCCAAATCCTGGCTGTACTCGGGGAGGCTTCTGGCAAGCTCCCTTCCTCCTTTCCCCTGTTGGTGAACGACTCTAAGTGTCCTGAATCCTCCAGTCTGTGATTCGATTCTCTAGTTCAGCCAAGAGGTAGAAGATGCAAGCCAGGCAACCAGGGACAGATGGGAGGCAGTCTCAGGTGGTGTTCCTTAGGCTTCAGTGTGCAGTAAAGAATTATCGAGGGTGGGGGTGGGGGGGGGAGCTGTTTAAAATCCAGATTCTGGGCCCAGCTGCTCTGGAATCATGATGTGGTAGGTCTGGGGCCAGGCCCAGGAACCTGCGTGTAAATGCATACCTGAGTGGTTGGGAGGCAGACCTCACTTTAACCTAAGAAGCTTCAAGGATTTGGTGTGTCCACCAGGGAGGCATATAGACAAGAGAACAAAACTGTAGCCAGACCACCAGCTGGACTCTGAGTGTCCTCAGAATGGTTGTTCCACGTGTCAGGGTCTCAGTTCCCTGTCTCCTAGTACAGGAAGGACAGTGTTCTCCTCCCAGAACACTAGTGAGAATCCAGTGAAATTAGTCCAGGACAGTGCCTGACACAGGCAAGCATCAGATGGTGGAGGGAAATCTGGCCACGGAAATGTGCAAAATCAGGCTTGAGGATGCTTTCCCAGCCCCTTGGCAAAAACAGCATTGCTTGAGACAACGACTGAGCTACAGTGACTCTGGAAATGCAATGTCATGTCTTGCCCTGTCTAAAGATCTTTTTTAACACCCTTGAAAGTGATTTCCTGTTTTGGGGGAAAAAAAAGGGGGGGGGAAGACTGGTTGCTTAGCAACCTGATACTACAGTAACAGTATTATTGGGTTTCTCCTGGAATTTGAGATTTACAAAACCTTAATTAAACTGGTGAAGATTTTACAAGTAACATCAATGTGAAAACCACGTTTATGAGAAATGTGACTAGATCTTTCTTCTATCCTTATTCACAGAGAACAGTATAATTAATTAAGCACATGATTTCTTATCTCTAAAGAAACACATCATCTTATACATAATGTCTAGAAGTTGAAAAACTTACCCCAAGGGGGCCTGGGTGGCTCAGTTGGTTGAGCATCTGACTCTTGGTTTTCGGCTCAGGTCATGATCCCAGGGTCCTGGGATCGAGCCCCGCATCGGGCTCCCTGCTCCGCGGGAAGCCTGCTTCTCCCTCCCCCACTCCCTCTGCTTGTGTTCCCTCTCTCGCTGTGTCTGTCTCTGTCAAATAAATAAATAAATAAAATCTTTAAATAATAATAATAATGATAATATCTATGACTTGATATCTGCTAGTATTTTTTAAAAGCTACCAATGGGGCCAATGTATAGATTTAAAAGTAAATATAATCTAATTAAGTCCAAACTTGGACTCTAACATTTAAGCCAATTTTAGGGGTTCCTGCTATATTTAACAGAGGAGTTACATGTAATTAGCTTGAACGATTTCCATATGGTTAAAAAGTCTTCAAAATTCATTTTCTTAAGCAGATTAAGCATGTTTCACAAAATCTTTATTATGCTTCTAGTATATTCCTACTGTATTCATGGGCAGTATAAAGCTATTCCTCACACCGTCCAGACTAGAGTGGTTCTGAATTATGTGCTTTCACCATAAATCAACAGTGGAAAACTAATGTAGTCCAGTGATCAGCATGTTTTTGAGATGAAACATGTTGTTAAACTTGTTTTCTTATTGAGAACAAATGTGTAGCTTCTGCCTCCCCTGATTTTAGAGATTTCAGGGGGTTCATTTTGTTAGGACTGTTTTCTGAGAGCTGTTCTATGAGAATCTGCAGGCACTAAACTCAGGACTAATTTAAGAGTGAGGCTTATTTTATTATTTTTTTTATTTGAGTGTAGTTGACACACAATGTTACATCAGTTTCAGGGGTCGGGCATAGTGCAAAACAGTATGGAGGTTCCTTAAAAAAATGAAAATAGAATTACCATATGATTCAGTAATTCCACTACTGGGTATTTACCCAAAGAAAACAAAAACACTTATTTGAAAAGACATATGCACTCTTGTGTTTATAGCTGCATTATTTGCAATAACCAAGAGAAGGAAGCAACCTAAGTGTCCGCTGACAGATGAATGGATGGAGAAGATGTGGGGTGGGGTGTGTGTGTGTGTGTGTGTGTGTGTGTGTGTGTGTGTGTGTGTGTGGTGGAATATTGCACAACTGTTAAAAAGGATGAGATCATGCAGTTTGTGACATGAGTGAAGCTTATTTTGTATCAGAGAGCTCCTGATATCTTGTAGAAACTGCTGGCTTAAGTGTTCTGAAGGGATTGTGACTCTTCACAATTTGAGAGAAAATGTGTTTGGAAAAAAATTCTGATTTTTGAGCTACTGTTCCCAGTGAGGGGAAATTATTGCGCATAAGTACATCATAAATCAGTCAAGAGTTTATCATATTTTTCTCTATGGTTCCTGCTCTTTTATTGTTCAAAAAAATTTGTGGTGAATTTTAAGTTAAAGAGAAGTAAAGTAGACTAATTCTATAGTTACTAAATTTGAGGCATCGGAAGTCAAACATAGATGATTTGGGGGGGACCTTTTAGAACAATTTGTTAACTACATGTAGAAGTAGTGGTTCAGTTTGAAAAGGTTAGGAGAAAAATAAATATGAAGGAATTCACTAAAATCATTCAGAAGTAAAAATGTTTACCCTAAAACTCACAAGCCAATATGTTATATTTTATATGATCTCTCCCCTCATTGATTGACAGCATTTTGTTAATAGGCTTCCTTGTTCTAAGAGGAAACCACACACCCCTCCTGCCTGCATGATTTGCTGTGTCCTGGTCCAAGTTCATTGCCTCCCACTCAACCTTGACTGGGACTCCTGTAACAATAAACTCCCTCCTCCCCCAAATTATACGGTTTGGAATACAAAGGTGACCATCCTGCACCATTTTTTAGAAAGATTTTATTTATTTATTTGAGAGAGAGCAAATGAGAAAGTGAGAGAGCACGAGCTGGGGCAGAGTGAAAAGCAGGCTCCCCACTGAGCAGGGAGCCCGATGCGGGACTCGAGCCCAGGACCCTGAGATCATGACCTGAGCCGAAGGCAGACGCTTAACCGACTGAGCTGCTCAGGCAACCCCATCCTGCACAATTTTTTTTCCTTTGGAGGAGGGCAGAGAGGAGAGAGAGGGATAGGACCATAGGAGTGTTTGGGATACTGCTTCACAAAAGTAACTACATAAGTTCAAGTTATCCTCATATTGGGGAGAAAAAAAAAACCATGCTTTTACAAAAATGCTGGGTTAACTGTTATGACAGTAGTCCTTCTGAGAATCAGTGTGACTGAAATCACACGTCTGTTACGTTTTGCTGTAGTGCATCAGAATTCTGTGGGATGCCCGTTGGCTGTCAGATTTCTGGGGGCTCCGAGATTCCAGTGACGGAAGTCTGGCGTGGAGCCCGGGAATCTGCATTGTTAACCACACAGTGCTTTGGATGCCACAATGCTGGGCACTGTATCTTGAGCACAGGCCAAGGCAAGATCTCTACTGCTCTCGCTTCAAAAGATATCATGTAGAATCTTAGTGAAAAACCATGCTTTTAGTTTAAATTTCTCAGATAATACTATTAAGGGGAAAAAATGTCCTTTAGTTGGAATCGAGTAGGAGGCCATGAATGTAGCCCCTTGTTTGAACAAA